ATTTGAGGGTGAGCCAAATACAGAGGAAGGATCAGTGTTTACACGCATCTGGTTATATTAGAACAGAGAGATTATGGCCTGGTTAGATTTACCAAATGAGTCAGGAGAACCATGTAGATGTGATGGTGTAAAGAATAAAGTTAAATATTTATTAGGTGTTTACTGTGTCACATGCCTTTCACTATCCTTTTATAGCGAGATCTATAGAGTGATCATGGATCGTCAGGAGATCGGAACTGTGGTATGAGGCAGTCACGATGGCATGGCTCCGCAGCCTCAGTTTCATAAGCCGTCCAAGTTTCGCAGGACCAGTTTCATTCGCCAGAGCCTACAGAGCAATGACTGTTAAGACACCACACACCAACACCACCAAACACACACACACACACACACCACACACACACACACACAACCTCACCCCAAAAGTACAGCTATTGGGGCTGCTGCTGCCTGGAACAGAACTGTTTGAAGCGCATAGAAACCTGCTTAACAAATGAATAGAGCCACAATAAGTATTATTGGTAATGATAATCTTTGTACATACCAAACTGGCCTCAAGGCAAATAAAGCTAATAAAACTAAACTTCAACCTTTTCTTTTTGATACAATGGTGTATAGAACATTCTCTAATAAACGCACTGTTAGCTAAAATCACTGTTTACTTTCCAAAAGTGTAAAGCTTTAAGATAAGTAAGTTATCAACAAACAAAAGACATTTGATACAATAAAGAAAAAAAAATAAAATTAATTTGCTAGGTAGCAGCCCTAAAACTATTGTAGTAGTTAAATAAATAATGGGAAATACATTTCCTAAAACAAAATTTAAAAAATGTTCTTACAAGAAAAATGTATCTCTAAATAAAATAGACAATAAAAGTAGAAAAGGACAAAAGACAGTTGTACAACTGGTTCTATGTTGTAACGTATATTAAGATTATAGAAAATCTGAAATGAAAATATGTGCCTTTGAACTACATTCCCGCTTCTGACTGGCTATATATTACCAGCACACAGTTTGTTTTCTAATCACGTAATTAGAATCTTCCTTTCGCCTGTGGTGTGGCCTTCATCATTAGTTGTGAGGCTGAGTGTGGTTGTGTTTTTAGGGGTAACTCCACCCTTGATGTGTGTGTGGAGCTGCAGAGAGATGGTGTTGGCTGGTCAGAGAGGTGAAACCAACCTAAACCCCAAAAAAACCTAAAACCAAACTCTCAGGTGAAGTCAACCTCGCGAACGCTGAAGCCAACGTGCCCACAAACCCCAAACAAAGCTATTCTCAAGTTCACCTTGTGTGCTGACAGCTGCAAACACCAATCAGAGCGCAGTGAGGGGTGGAAGGGTGGGGCATAGAGTCAACAAGGGGGTTTTGTATGTGGCATGGGAAAGAATAGCATGGAGAGATGAGGATAAGAGAAGAATGAGAGAAGGAAAGAGCTCAGGATGTGGGTTTAGGTTAGTCTGCCATCAATGGAAGTGGCTTTTCTGGATGCAAATCTGGTTTGACAACAATTGATGGTCAAAGTTTGTGGCGGCCTGGTCGACCCCAAAGCGTGTGTGGTGTGTGTGTGTGTGTGTGTGTGTGTGTGTGATGTGGTTGAGGGCAGAGAGTGAGAAATGTTTAATTTGAATGTACATCGACTCCTGATTTAGTCAAGCTTAGATGTGCGATTTATTAGTTTTTATTACATTAAAGTTTAATGAAACAATGTTTGAATATTGTAATATATGAATAATGCAATAATGTCTGCTTACTCTGATTACATATCTGTGTGTGTGTCTAGTTGTGTGTGTGTGTGTGTGTGTGTGTGTGTGTTGTGTGTGTGATGTGTGTTGTGTGTGATTGTTCAGGTTTGCTTACTTGGGAGACGCTCGGCCAGGCCCTCTGCCGAGAGCAGCACCTGGTGAGAGGTACATTGTGCATCAACACAGCTCATTACTATAGGTAATCATAAAATGCAGTTCTGCTTTCCTTAACATCAGATTATAGTTAAAATCACTTCTTCGGTGAAACCCCTATCGCAGTAATAATTATTTAAGTTTAAGTTATGTTGAAAATTCAAAACAGGCTTGAAAATTTGGCCTTCCTTGACCATTTTAAACAACCTCTTACAACTCAATAATTCTGTTACTCGAATCTTAGTTATTATTCCCTTTTATGAACCTTATGTTTCGCTCTAAGTTCCTGCAGACTTCAATGTGGTTTAGTTTGATAAGAGCAGAGTAACATGGAAAATGTCTATGTGTCCTATTTATGTTTATTTAACCGAATGGATTGGTTTTAATATTTACTCAGTACCGCATCAGGACCTGTGAAAGGGGCCCTTCTTCGTGGGTCGAGGGGTCATTTAAGCGGAGGACATCCTGTTTCCTGATGAGGAGGGACAAGGTAATACAACCGCAGAAATAAAAACACTTAAGTCACAAAGCAAGGTCCAGTGTGTAACATTTAGAGGCTCTATTGGCCAAAATGGAATGTTAATATTATGTCATAGGAATGTTTTATTAGTGTACATCACTCTGCAAATAAGAACCGGCCATGTTTTTGTTACAGTAGCCTCAGAAGGGCCAACCAAACCACTGTGGCGGTTTTGCCTCTTTTCACGTATCTCACAGCCACCGTAAGTTTCTTCCCTTGTGAGGAAGGGGAGGGGTGAAGCGAAGGGATTGCAATCCTGAACTACACTGCTAGATGGCACTAAATCATTTAACTTCAAAATATCATCATATAATATCATTGGTGGTTCATAGCTTTGAAATTAATAACTAATAATATTGATTGTCCTCATCTTGCTGTTTCTGTTCTTATCTCTCTCTCTCTCTCTCTCTCTCTCTCTCTGTCTCTCTGCCTTAATGTCTCTTGACCAGTTGAAGGTGGCGAGGTTAATAAAATATCTCCAGTTTAGAGATTATAAATCCAAACTACTTAAAACTGTAGACGAGGAAGACTCGCAGCAAGAAACGGGTATATGCACATTCACACATCCTCCATGGTTTTAAGTGAGAGAATATCAAACTGTAATCAGAAAAAGACATTTTTCATTGTTTGCATGCTGCCGGGGTGGTGCAGGCGCTGCTGGTGGCGTTACCGGCGGTAACCAGCGAAGGCAGCGTTTGGCCCAGGATTTTCTGGTGTGGATGGATCAGACCGGTGACTTACTGTCATTGGCCGAGCGGCACGAAGTAGACCCCGTCAAACAAGAGCGAATGGAGGTCAGAGGTCATGTCTTCAGTACAGCAACCACTCTGTTCTTAACCATTTTTAATGTCTGTGACACACTTGTAGCACTGATTTGATTTCCCTGAGATTGATGAAGATGGTGGTTAAATTATTATTGATTGTTTATGTTTTGTGTGTCTCTGTCTTCAGCGTTTAGAGCGTCAGACTCGAACTATGGACCAGGCTCAGTACTCTGAGTTCTGTGAGAGTCGGCAACTCAGCTTTGGTAAGATTTTAATCAAATAATGAAATCTCTCTTTAATCATCCGTTGATCAAACGAAAGTGATTGAGTTGCTTCCCTACCATGTTGGACTGTATGCTATTCAACTACAGTATATCTTCTTAATGAATCACCAGGTTTAAATTGAATGGTAAATAAATCAAATTTAAGCAAAACATCTGAAACAGTTGAATCCCTGTGCTCACTGCCTATAATTGTAGACCAAGTATTATTAATTTACCATCTGCTCTCTGCACAGATCCATTAGGGATACAGTCAAAAACAGTGCAACAAAGTTATGTTCCTGAAAGCAAAATAGGCAGACAAGACTACAAAGTAGGTGGGAACTTTTATTTCAATGGGAAACACTCATTGTTAGACTGTCATTTTTTTATTGATTAATCTGTTGATTTATTTAATAATGTTCAGTGTTTAAAATTTTAGAAAATTGTGGAAAAATGCCCATAACGATTTCCAAGAACCCAGATCTTCTTCAAATTGTGTTATCCAACAATCAGTCCCAAACCCTAAAACCCCATATTGTTTCAAATAATGTAAAACAGAGAAAAGCTCACATCTGAGAAGCTGGAACAGGCAAGTACTGACTGAGTATTTGCTAACTGACCTTAAACAAGAAATCCATTATCAAAATGAATACTGAATGAATACTTTTCTACCCATTGACTAATCGGTTAATCGACAAATTGTTTCAGCAGGAAACCTACTAAACTACCTACTGAACTGTCAACTGAATGTCAAAATGAAATTGTATAATCAGAGGAGAAATGTACTATAATGCTCTTTCCGCTGACCTGCGGATGGGAATCAGTAGGAGAGTTTTAGCATTTCAAAATAAGAGCTACACAAAGCTCATTCTGTTTCTGTCTGTCTGTGTGTGTGCCGTCGACCTGGCTGTCTGTCTGTCTGTGTGCGCCGTCGACCTGGCTGTCTGTCTGTCTGTGTGTGTGCGCCGTCGACCTGGCTGTCTGTCTGTGTGTGTCAATGTGTTTCCAGCTAAGAAAGCATCAAAGTTTCGGGACTGGCTGGACTGCAGCAGTTTAGAGCTGAAACCCAACAGCATTGCCATGGAGATTCTGTCGTACCTGGCCTATGAGACTGTTGCCCAGGTAACGGGTCCAGTTATGATGTCACACATATCCTGTTAATATGTGATTTAAAAAGTTCCCTGCGTTACAAAAATCGGTCTGCTTTTTCTTTTGGTCCTTCTCTCTCTCCAGATCGTGGATTTGTCTCTGCTGGTAAAGCAGGAAATGGCCACAAAGACCAATCCCATCAGTCATGTGATCTCTTCCAGCTACATCCACTACAACACTCACACTGAGGTATACACACACACACATTACACATTGAGTTGTTTTTAATCACTGAAACCAAGGTACCACTGTTATATTTTAAGTAAATAAATAACATTTGTCTTCCATTTTTCTCTCTGCCAGGTAAAGAAGGATCCAGACTCACCTGAAGCCACGCCCCCTTCCACCCCAGGCTCCTCCCACTCTTCCAAGCCCCTCTTACAGGGTAATGGCAGTCTGGACGGTCGCGCAAGACAGAGGAAACGCAAAAAGGTGTGGCTTTAGTCTGCAACCTTCTTACCTGTGAAATATAGGTTGTTTACAGGTTTGTTTGGTGTCAATTGACATAAACATACTCAAACAAAGGTTGTGTGTGTGTGTGTATATGTATATACACACACACACAAGACCTTTGGTGTCCTGTGTTGTTGTATTAATGCAGTATGATTTGTTTCAGAGCTGTCCGGCTGCAGTGGAACCTCCCAGTGGAGCCATCCAGCCCTGTCACATCAGAGAGGCTATTAGACGATACAGCTACAGACACATAGTATGTACACACAGCCACGACACTGAAAATGACATTGACCAGGCTAGATTGACACAGTACATGTTTGTCTTCTTTATTTTAAGCATTGCTTTATAGCATTAAGTCATTCCTCGTGTCCATAGTAGACAGGGAACAAAAACCAGTCCTAGTTCTGTGCATAAATGCATTTTAAAGTTCACTCAAAGCTAATAAGATGCTTCACCAGGCTGAGTTAGACTAATGAAGTGAGCGTCGTTAAACAGGAAAATCTATTGTTTCTTGCTGAGTTGCCTGTAGGTTTGCTGATAGAAGAAAAAGGCAATTTCATACTAAAATACTTCACCTTCGGCTACCTTAGACTGCAGATTGTTCCCATCCTTTACAGCGGAGCCCAACTAGGACTCAAC